TGAGATGGCTCATTCTAATACAAAGATTAAGTTTTTTCCTAATTTTGTATATCCCACTTGCACTGCCTTTTACTGTTTATTTCCCCAGGAGAAGTATGGTGCTTCTGTCTTCACATATTTGTGTACATGCAAAATAGCTGGAAAACATTAATCTCAGAATTGTATAACTTAAAATTCCTGAATGTCACCTGAGATAGAACTAAATTATCCTATCTAATAATAGACAAAGATGCAAATTGACCGTACCTCCGCTACACCCACCATTGGCTAATCAGAGCAATATGCAAATTAACTGCCAACAAATATGGCAGCTAATTTGCATATACCAGCTGGGAGAAAAGACTGAAGACACCGTAGAAGGAAGCCAAGCAACAGAACCCAGGTAGTGGAGACGGGCGGGAGAGAAGCGGCAGAGAAGGGCGGGGTAGGAGGGGCAGAGACGGGAGCTATCTTCCTGCAACGGGCTTCTCGTATTATTATAAGTCACATTAATCAAGTCTGATTTTTAAATACCAGAGATCTTAGCAACATTTTGTTATTACATTTCATTATTATCATTGATAAGTTGCCAATAATGTGTCCTCTCAGAAAATAATTTTTATTGATCAGACCAGAAATTCAATTTGAGTGTAAAATCAATGTTAACTATTTGAAGAGAAAATAATATAAATATGTGTAGCCTTAATTTATTATATGGAAAAACCATTTAAGTTGATATCCAAAACACTTTAGGAGAATGAGCTAATGTGAACAACAAATACCTAGAATATCTAATTCAAGTGTGCTACCCTGTGTTCCTATGATTGGAACCAGTAGCACAGGGCATAGATAACATTAATGGAGCCTTTTAAAAGGCCAGAGTGAACAGTCTTCTTCTCCTTAAGGTAATTTCCTGTATCTTATCTGTGACACATAGGCAAGGAACATTTACAATCACACACTGTTCCATTGATTCTGAAACCTCTCTACCAGACCCTGCCTTACCCACAAAAGATGTGTTCTCACCATTTCTAGGGGTGAAGAGCTCATGTTTTTTGTAATCAGCATTGTCTTAACATTCTATTTCCTTCAACTAATTATAATCAGAAGAATTTCTAAAAAAAAAACCAAAAGACTTTTTTTTTAAATTCTCTGCAAGCAATTTGCTAGACACTGGACAAAAGGTCACCCATGGGCAATATTAGGCAGACATGGAATATTTCATTCAGTGCAGCATGGCCATGACCTTACCACCTCATCATTGAACTCTTTTTTTTTCTCCCCTCTCCTAATCTCTCCTACCTTCAGAATGACTAGTCACTTCGCTTCCAGAATTGCTTCATTCCTGGAATTCCTTTTTGGCAATAAAAGAATTCGTACAGGATTTGAACAGTGTCTAACTCCCCCACCCCAGTAACACCTATCAATTGTCTTTTTGCTGCCTTAGCCAGTTCTCAGTCCTTTCTCCAGAATGCCCCCTGATGCCAGATATTCAAAAGATATTGGCCAGGGAAACCATTTCAGTAAATGGCATGCCTCAAGTTTTTAAGGTAAAATTTGAAAGAAGTTGCAAATTTTATTAAGATACTGTTGTTCATTGTGTTTTATAAGTATTACAGACAACACTTTAAAACATGACTTTCTTCCTACATGGGCACCCAGGGGGTACAGTGTAATATGTAAAGTGGTAATATTCCCAAAGTGTAATAACTAGGATTAGACATTTAAAATTTTTCCCTTTGCTAATACTTGCAATCCTTAAATGTCTTCTCTATGACTTTTATAAAAGAATTTTAAAACTCCCTACAATACAGACTCATTTCACAATGCTGCTGTACACCTCTGCCCCTCTGCCTCCACCCCCATGAGTTACAGGTAACTTTAAAAGTGTTCAGCACAGTTTACAATAACAACACGAGTTAGAGTGATTTACAATGAAAACCACCCACCAATATTAAGGCACTAGAGAGAAACTGACCGGGTTAAAGATCCTTGCCGGGTATTTATCAACAGATCAGCCCCATATAGCTCATGTTTTTCAGCAGCTTATCTGCTGACTCAATCTTACAGGTATGTCAACAATTCAGAATTCTCTAGGGCCCATGGAACTAAAAACAGTCAACACCAGGGTCATTTCTTCCCAGAATTTCTTGTGTTGCTACAGGATTCTTTCCAGACCCGCACTGTTTCAACAATTGCTTGTCTGTTTCAACTTTAGAGACATGACAGTAATACGGAAATAATAAATGCAATACAACCATCAAGAGCCCCCAGACCTTTTCAAAGAACTTGGATTAAACAACATACTTGAACCACCTCTGGTAATTGTTCATGACACGTTCATGTTAAATTCCTTTCAAGGGGATTACTTTTTTGAGTCTCAGAAAGCTGAGGCTTTAAAGTAAGTAGGTGTTTGCTGCCTTATCTCTCTGCCTGACTTGCATTTCTGTGTAGGCTGCTGAGTGCATTTCAGCTTGGGAAGCTCCCATTGCAAACCAAGTATTTCAAACACTTTGTTCCTTAGTTTGAAGAGCCACTCAGCCAGCTGCCCTTAGCATTAGAGCAGAAGTATCATGACAGTGCACTTTGCTCTACCATATCAATTCTGTGAACTATGACACATTCCTGCTATTCCCGCCTAAAATGTTCTCTCCAGCAACCTATGTCCAATCCCACTGAATCTTGGGGGAATCTAAAATCCCAATTCCTCCAAGCAGCTCCTCAAAGTCCCTTCAGTCAGTGGTCTAATTCATCCTTCTAAACTCCATAATATACTAGCTGTTCTTTTTTACTGTCACTTACCATGTTTTATTTTATACATTTTTTTAGAGGTAGGTTTCCTTCTTCAGACCTTAAACTCTTTGCTTTAAAGCAAGCAGAGTCTATGTTTAATTCAATGCCCTTCATGAAGAACAGACTCATTTGATAGTTCTTGAATTCACGAAACAACATGAATTCATCACGCTGTAGAGAGGACAGACAGATCATGTGTGGGTTTGAGACTAAGCGTCCAATAAATGTGGAGAGACCAACACATTCTACATACGTGAAATGACTCCTCATGTCTATCTCATATAATTGTTTTAAGGATATAATAAAATGCAAACATATTTTTAAATAGGGTTAGGCACATACTAGATGCTCAGCAATGCTCCCTTTTCCTTCTCTATTCCTCAGATTTATTGCATAGCTGACGTCCTGTTATTTCTGGCTAGCCACTCTCAGAGGGTACGGAAGACGATCTAATGCGCATCCCTGTGTCTCCAAGCAGAAGCTAGTTTGGTTCTAGTGTAGCACTGGACCTGCACAGACTAAAGGGGTGCAGTGACTCCATTGGTCAACAATTGACCTCAGCTATCCTGAAACCATTAGTCAGCCTCCTAAACATAAATTTAGGTTTTTTTCCATGCACTGTGGCAATTCTGTGTTATCTATACCTCCCACTCTCTCAGAACCACCTCAATTTTATTTAAGGAAAAAATGGGAGGGAACTTAGTGTCTGATAAAGATCCTACTTAGTATTAATAACCAAAAAGCTTAATATAACTGATGAGTAGTTAAAAAATTCAGGCTTGGAAAGTTAAATATCAGTTCTGCTACTTACTATCTGTGGGAACCTGAGTCTTACCTAACTGCTTAGTGTCTTCATCTGTACAATGGGGATTAAAGGGTTTACCTAACAGATTTTCTTTTTGGGGGGAGTGGGGGGCATAAATAACACAATGAACATAAACCATGTAGTCCAATTCTTGACACATAGTAGACACTCAGTTACATTAACTATAATCATCAAACATCCGTTTACCTTTCAAATATGTAAATATTGACTGCTTGATCCTTTAGGATTCTTTTACACGAACTGAAAACTATATGGCCTCCCAGGGTCTGCTATTTTAAATTTCTAGTCCGACCTGCAAGCGTTTTTCTTTTTCCTAATGTGCTCTCCATTTGCCATTGCCGAATTATTTCCTAGAGAAACAGTGCAACATTGCAGGAAACAAACTGATGTACCAACTTAATTCATTGTTCAATTTCTTTCCTGTTCTCTTTTCTATAACCCTTCAATACTTTTATAATGAAAAAAAACAAACTAATAAAAATGGGACTGTGTAGCTTCGATCACCTGATTTTAGCAGGGGAGAAAATATTTCATGTTTTCTAATTTGTAGAACTAGTTTGCCATCTTCTTCACCTTCCCTCTACCCCGACTATCAATTACTGATACACATGTTTTACTTTATAAAAACCCCTTTCGCCTCTGAGAGGCCGAGGGGGTGTGGGTGTGGGTGCTGCGGCTGGCCCGGCCAAAGTCCCCTTCCTCCCCCCCATCTCCCCCCGCGGGGCACTGACTGTTCCTGGCCCAAAGCCTCCTTCCCAATTTTTTCACTTCCTAGATCAACCACTGGCGCAGTACACTGGGTGGAGCGCCCCGAAGTACCTGGGCGAGGCACCGCCATCCCAATTTACAGTTTGTAGGAGCGCCAGTACTTTCAGGTTTTCTTTTTCAAAATATTCATTGGGGGCTTAGACTCTTTAAAAAAACGAATAAAACCGAGGGGCGCTTTCCCCTAGGAAAATGATCCTATCGACCTTCTGCATAGCACAGCATTTCAAAGTGTTTACAGACTCCCGGAGCCTCCCCATTAAGACCCCTGGGGGGAGGGAGGGCGGGGCGGGAGGAGGGACGGCGAGGGGAGCCGGTTAAGGAAGGAGTAAAAATCTTAGACTGAATTCTTTCACATAGATATAGACGTGCATTTTAATATACGTTGAATACAGACAGGGACAAAAGGCTGGAGTGGGAGGTTGTTTTAGAAAAGACTGCTTTCCTCCAAGCAAAGCTCGGTCTGTAGTCGCGAGGCGCGGCGGCTCTGTACAAAAGGGACCGCGAGCAAACATGTGGGCCAGGATACCAGGTCCCGCACCCCCTGGAAGCAGGGAGTCGAAGCAAAATGGGTGAGGGGGGAAGGGGGAGAATGAGGAGGGTCGGGCGATGCAAGGGGGTGGCGGGCTCCACTCACCGTTGCCCACGAAGCTGCGCCTTCCGGGCCAGGGTCTGCTGCACCTGCTCCTGGATCCGCAGGCTCTTGGCCGCCTGGCCGCCGCGGCTGCTGCTCCCCGCCAGCTTCAGCTTGGCCTCGGAGGCAGAGCCAGGCTGGAGCTGTCCAGCTGCCCCAGGATCTTCTTGGCCCCAGGACCGTCTGGAGTGTATCCGTTTTCCGCGGGGGGACCGGGGGCTGCCAGGGGCCCCGGGGAGGGGGACCGAACCCTCTCCTGGTCGAGAATCTGCGGGGGGAAGACAACTGCGGCCGGATCCGGGGGAATTTGTTGGGAGCCCCCCCCCCCGCCCCGGCCCCGTCTCGCCGCCTCCGCTCCGCCCCCAGCGCCGGTGGGAGGCCGGAGGAGTCCAAGTCCAAGGGAGCCCTGGAGCCCACCTCCCAGGGCGAGGGGGCGCGGCTCCCGCCAGACAGGCGCACTGGGCCCGGGGGTGGGGGCGGAGCCGGCGGCCAGCCCGGACACCTGGCGAGTTGGACACCTGGTGGTCGTGCACGCCCCAGATCACCTAGGCTGCTACCTGCCAGGGCCGCGCCCAACTTTAGTTTCCTTGCTGGGCCTCTGCCCAGCCCTCAAAGGATGATTTCAGCTCCATTGCGTAGCGCCCCGGGCAGGTGATCCCTGAAGAGTCACGTCTCTTCTAGGGCTAAGGTTTGGCTCTGGGATCCCCACGTGATTACTAACCTGGCTAGTCAGGCTATGCCAAACTGTGCGAAACATTTCGTGGTTTTCCTGGACCTGAGGGTGAGAAAGAATTATTTGGTCAGGCAGAAAAAACAGGAGGAGGGAATTGTGCCAAGAGGACATGCGTGAAATAAAAGATTTTGTTTTTTTTATAATATGGTAGTTGTTTTTTTCCCTTAGTACAACTTCAGGGACTATGTACTTTTTGCACAGATGCAGTCTCAGAAACATATGTTCTTCCTCATTGAGATCTTCTGTTTCCTCTTACAAATAAATACACATTGTACCCAGTACACTCTCTGCACACGACTCCTCTCCCGGGAACACACCCACACAGAGAAACTCCAGCTAGAGGCGCTAGGGAAGAGCACACTTCTAATAGGTGATACTTTTTAACAGCCCTGCTAATGTTGATTATGTCCTCTTTACGACAGGCTCTGTCGGGGGCCCATGGAAGGGACCTCTGACTTTCAATCTCATCTTCCACAACTTGTATTTATCGCGCTATTAAGTATGTTTCACACATACTTGACTACTGAGAACTTGAAAGCTAAGCTCAACAGAAAGGGTCCTTGACCTTAAAGTTTACAACCTAAGCCACTCATCCTGATTTTCCTCTTTGGACTTGAGAGGCAGAAAGAAAAACATCTATCCCAGGTATTAAGTAAGATAGTCTTCCTTTGATTGCTTGGGTTCCTGTGTTCGCTTTTCCTCAAGCCACTCAATTACTGTAAAGCTCCACTCATTCAGATCTGGGGTGGCTAGAGAGCACAGCTTTCCCCTTCCCCATTTTCCTATGCATGCCCCTTTATCTTTACATAAACCCTTAATGCAAAGCTACACGAGCTGTCAGGGAGTCAGGGGAAATCAAGGGGCTCCAATCCTGAATAAGGAAATGGTGATAGTTCTGCCACCCTTTCTCAGCCAACCACACGGCTAAGTCCTTGTGGAACTAGTGCTTAAGGAAGTCATGTGGGATGGTAGGTCTTGGAAGCAATTCCTTCCATCCCAGCAGGACTAGTCTTGTGGTAGATTGTACCTTATGAAGAGCTCAGTGATGTAGCCAAATGAAAATATCCAACCCTGATGCTGAGATTCAGTTGAAAAGAGAGGGGTGAACAGAAGGGGAAGTGGTGATAGAGATTTCCCACAACAAACTCCTTCCTAGCCTCTTCTTTCTCTCTCCCTCTCCTTACTCATGGCCTCTTTGGGCAGCTCTGAGAGTGCTGTTTTGGAAGACGATTTCAGGACATGCCTCTACAGGGCCAGCTAGGGAGTCCTTGTGTGTGTGCCTGGAGAGCCATAAGTTAACAAGGTCTGCTCTGCCTCCATCTAGATCCCTCAAGAGGGGAGTGGAGAGCATTTATTTGTTTATTTATTTATTTGATTGAGCCAAACCTCATTACTTCCCCCCCCCCCAAATTTATTTATTTTCTCTTTAAGTGTGATGTTGTCATTGACTAATCCTATTAAATAAGCACCAATATTGAGCATGTAAAAATCTTGATTTTTGGGTAGTTGGGTGATTTGACAGAAGGAAGATGGTCAAAAGCACAGCTTGTGACTGAGGCAGATATGGGTTAAATCTTAGCTTGTCCTTTGTAAGTAGTGTGGCTTTAAGAAAGTTTCCTCACATTTTTAAGCCTCAGTTCTCTTACCTGCAAAATGGGAGCAATAAGACACCTACCATGAAGTGCTGCTGTAAGGATTGAATGGTAAGTGGTTACAAGAAATCCTTAATAAATAATTGTTCAATGATCTTTAACAGACATCCCCCTGAGATCCAATTTTGGATTTTTTTACTTCCTTTGGTCTCTGCTCATGTCAACTTATCATTTGAATGAGACGCTTATTCAAATACACATTTTCCATAGCTCTTATTTTCATTACACGTGCTTTATGCTTTGGTTATTTAATTATTGTTTCCTTACTGTAGAATAAGCTCCATGAAAGCAAGGATTTTGTTTTGTTCACTGTTGATCTCCAGGTCCTGGAACAGTGCACATAGTAGATAATAGGTATATGTTGAATGAATGAATGATGCATAAAGGCACTTAGTTTATTACATGGTACATAATAATTACTACAACAACTGTTCATAGTACTTATTTAGGCTTTCATACTCTTTTGTTAATTTATTTTTTTGGTAATTTATTGATTTTGGAGAAAATGCATATGAGAGAGAAACATAAACTTGTTGTTCCAGTTATTTATGCATTCATTGGTTGATTCTTGTATGCACCCTGCCTGGGGATGGAACCCAAAACCTTGACGTATGGGATGACACTCTAACCAACTGAGCTACCCAGTCAGGGCCTGTAACTTATTTTTTAAAAAGTCAGATAGATATCCTATGTACTCTAGGTATTCAATTAATAGTTATGTAATAATCCCTACAAATAAAAAATTATACTGACATAAATTTTAAATAGTTTCAGAATTCAATAATTCAAGAAAATAATCCTTTTGAAAATAATATAAACTCATTAAATGGCTCCCTTTGGAGATAAGAATCCTGTTGTAATAGCAACTGTTAATTACCAGGTGAGGAAGTATGCAGACTGGCATTGTGCCCCAAAACGTAGTCTAGCTATGCTTCTATTCCAACAAAATGCAGGCCCTGCCCTGTTTCCTGGGAAAACTGCCTAGCCAGCTTCCTAAATTGTGAGCAAGCCCTGAGATGACAGCAGACAGTAGCTTCCAGCCAACAGGTTGAAGTGTGGAAATAAAATGCTCTGAGTACCTTTGTGGTGTTTGGCTGCTCCACAATCTGCTACTTTTTAATATTTAGGCCCAGTTTTGAAAACTCTTTTATTTCTTTTACTATAGGCCCAGTGCACAAAATTCATGCGGGGTGGGGGGTGTCCCTCAGTCCAGCCTGCACCCTCTCCAATCTGAGACCCCCTCAGGAGATGTCCAACTGCCGGTTTAGGCCCGATTCCACAATCCAGGACTGCTGGCTCTCAACTGTTCACCTGCCTGCCTGCCTGCCTGATTGCCCCTAACTGCTTCTGCCTGCCAGCCTGATCACCCCCTAACCACTCCCCTGCCAGCCTGATCGACGCCTATCTGCTCCCCTTCCGGCCCGATTGCCCCCAATTGCCCTCCCCTGCTGCCCTGGTCCCCCCCAACTGCCCTCCCCTGCTGGCCCGGTCACCCCTAACTACCCTCCCCTGCAGGCCTGGTCCCCCCCAACTGCCCTCCTCTGCCAGCCCGGTCATCCCTAACTATCCTTCCCTGCCAGCCTGGTTGCCCCCAACTGCCCTCCCCTGCCGGACATCTTGTGTCTGTGGGTGCCGCCATCTTTGTGACGGTGTGAGGGTCAAATAGCATATCCCCTCCTTATTAGATAGGATTTTTCATTTACCAACCGAATTTGATAAAAACAAAATAAAAAGTTTGAACCACAGGAATGAACATAAATAACAGATAACTTAATTATGAGGCTACAGTTCCTTCTGCTGGGAACTTAAAATAATGATTCAGAAATTCTTGAACTTTACACTTGCATTTTTCTTTGATTTACACACTCCATCTTTAAAGCACTAATGTTTTACTGTTTTCAAATCTACAGTTAGGACTTCCCCAGAGTAATTTTACTTCCTTTAGCCCAGCGGTTCTCAACCTGTGGGTCACGACCCCTTTGGGGGTCGAACAACCCTTTCACAGGGGTCGCCTAAGACCATCAGAAAACACATATATAATTACATATTGTTTTTGTGATTAATCACTATGCTTTAATTATGTTCAATTTGCAACAATGAAAATACATCCTGCATATCAGATATTTACATTATGATTCATAACAGTAGCAAAATTACAGTTATGAAGTAGCAACGAAAATAATTTTATGGTTGGGGGTCACCACAACACGAGGAACTGTATTAAAGGGTTGCGGCATTAGGAAGGTTGAGAACCACCGCTTTAGCCATATATAAATTCCATTATGGGAAATTTCAATATGCAAAACATTCAGGAAGTTCCTAAAAGACTAAATATAGTATAAATTATAGAGTGGAAATATTATTTTAATGGAGAACTTTAAATAACATGAACAGCATCAAAACTCTTTGATTCATATTTAAGAGATAAACTCTTAATACATTTTCATGAATGTCTTCTCTCACGAACTATTTTCCTGTTACTATTTATAGGCTATTATTTTCTATTGCTTTTAAAAAGTATTTCTTAAATTAGTATTTCTGGCAGATAGAAAATTTAAAATAAACCTCAGGTTTCATTTCCTTTTTTAGCACATGGACGTGTTGCCAAGGCAATGGGTAGCAGTTTTACATTAGCCACATATAACGAAAGTGGATCAGGACTGGAAAAGGACGCTCTGAACAAGGAGGCACGGAACACATCTCCAATGGGGACTCTCGATAGCAGTGAGGGTTAAGGTGTTTGTCTTTAATGCAGATGTTTATGTTGTCTGCTATTTTGGCTATATTGTGAGTGTGTAGGTCTGAAAATTATTCTTTTTAAAAGACCCCTAAGTGGTGTGGGAGGTGGAAACCAGGTGGGCAACCACTAGGGCTGGCAATGCACAATTTGTTCCTTGTTCCTGAAGCTTTCAAGACAGCTCCTTTAATCATGACTCATGGCACGTATGAGCTTGGTAGATGAGTTAAAACGATTACCTTCTGGGTGGGTGACTACAGCTGGTACATTAATGGTTGTCGGATCTCTCATCTGAAGGCCAGAGAGGCTGAAGGGAGGGGACAATTTGGTTGATTTCTATCACATATTCTTGTCCACATTAGAGACCATGATCCTCACCTCTTGGTCTCCACCCTGAATCTTGCAATGAGATAACTATCAGGTGCTTAATAAATAATGAGTGTAACCTCTCACCTGTAGGCATTTTGATGCAGCTGAACAAAAGGATTCTGAAGAGGTGACTTGGCCTGAAACAAAACATCAAAGTGAGTTGAGTACCCAGAGGAGAACAACGTTTAGTGATTTTTAACCTTATGAAAGTAGCAGAGAAATTCAGTAGAATTGATTATTTATATATAACTTTACAGAGGATCTAA